CCAGCCGCGCCGGCCATTGGAGGGTGAACCAATGGCAAAGGAAGACCTTTCTCTCTGTCTCTCTCTCTCACTGTCCACTCTGCCTGTCAAAAAAAAAAAAAAAAAAGATATCATTTGCAAACTTTTTTCACATTCTTTGGTTTGCCTTTTCATTTATTGTCCATTGATGCACAAAAGTTTTAAATTTTGATAATGTCTAACTTATCTGTATTTTTCTTTTGTTGTTGATGCTTTCGGTGTTGTGTAAGAATCCAGTGCTAAATCCAAGATCACAAGGGGTACTCCTGTTTTTTCAAAAAGTTTTATAGTTATGGCTCATAAGTAAGTCTTTTATTCTTTTTTGAGTTTATGTCTGTATATGATACAAGATAGGGGCCCACTTCATTCTTTTGCTTTTGGTTTGCAGTTATCCCAGAACCATTTATTGGACTGATCATACTTCCTCTGTTGAATCCTCTTGGCAACCTTGTTGAATATCAGTTGATCATACATATGTGGGTTTATTTTGGGATGTCCAGTTGTATTCCATTGATCTATATGTGTTTATGCCAATACCACACTGTTGTTTTTATTTACTTATATTTATTTATTTGAGAGACAGGCAGAAAGACCTCCTATGCCTGTAACAGCTGGGGCTGAGCTAGGCTGAAGGCAGGAGCTGAAAACTCAACTCAGATTGCTCATATGGGTGGCAAGGACCCAGCCACTTTGACCCATACCTCTGACTCCAGGGTGCACATCAGGGAGAAACTGAAACTGAGAGTGGAGTCAAAACCAGGTCTAAAACCTCACCCCAACGCCCCCTCCCCATGGTTTTGATATTGGTGGCTTTGAATAAGATTTGAAAAGCTAGTATCAGTCCTCCCATTTTTTTGTTTTTCAAATTTTGTTTTTTCTGTCTTGGGTCCTCTGCATTTCCATATGATTTTTAGGATCAGCTTGTCCATTTCTTCCAACAACTTTTTTTTAATATATAAATTATTGTCTGCAAACTCAAAAACAAACTCCCTCCTAATTTTTAAACTTCCTAATCCCTTTTGTTATATCACTGGCCAGGACCTCTGTTGCTTTTAAGCATTAGCAGTGATGTGGGTGTCTTCAATTTCATAATCTTAGAACAAATGCATGTAAATTTTCCCTAAATGTTTAACATTTGGGTTGCTTTGGTAAATATCTAGTAATTTAGGAATTTTTTTTCCTATTTCTTCTTGCTAAAATTTTTGGAATCAGCGTTGTGGCGTAGTTGGTTAAGCCATCACATGTGACACCAGCATCTCATAGGAGTGCTGGTTCAGGGCTCAGCTGCTCTACTTGCAGTCCAGCTCCATGCTAGCATGCCTGGGAAAGCAGCAGAAGATGGCTCAAGTGCTTGGACTCCTGTCACCCTCATGGGGCACCCAGATGGAGTTTCAGTCTCCTGGCTTTGACCTGTTGAAGCTATTTGGGGAGAAACCAGTGGATGAAAGATCTTTTTCTCTCTCTTTGTATTTGTCTCTCGCCCACTCTCTCTCTATAACTCTGCCTTTCAAATAAATAATTTTTAAAATAAGGATTATATAATATTGTTAAATGCATTTTCTACATTTTTTGAAATAAATATATAATTTTTTATCCTTGGTCTGTTAGTGTCATGAATTATATTAATTGATTCTTTTGGTATTGAACCATCATTTTATTCATGAGGTAAACCTTATGTAATCATGAATTTTTTAAAAAATCAAATTATATTTGGTTATCTAAAATTATGATATTTAAAAATTTGTGTTCATAAATTATGATTTATAATAATTTTATGAATTTATAATTTATTGTAACTGTTCACATCTGGTATAGGAATAAGGGTAACACTGACCTGATCAAATGAGCTAGTTTCATTCTTTTTCTGTTTTTTGGCTGCCTAATATAGGAATTACCACTTTTTGAACATTTGTTAGACTTCACTTATAACTTTACCTTGACCTGATGCCTTCTGTCAAAGGAATTTTTCATTATGTCAATTTCTGTAATATATTTCTTAAATCAAGATCTGTTTTGTAGGGCCCATCCCTAGCTACCTATTGCATTTTTTTTCTTCCTGTTGCATTTTCATAGTTTGAGTTCAATAAAAATAATATAAATAAGTATAAACTGATAAGTTTGTTTTATAATTTCAAGAGTTATAGAGCAGGCATTGAAGAATAATGCAAAAAGTTATTGTTAAAATAAATCACCAGAGTTACAGAATAAGGGATGATAACCATATATGATTGCTTTACTAGACTTGGAAAAAAATTGGAACAATTTAATACCTATTCAGGCAAGCATGAAATGAAACTGGATGCCCTCAGTATGATAAAAGGTGTTGGTAAAAACCAGCAGCTTCATTTAATGCAAGATATTGACTGCTTTCTCCTAAGATTGGGAACAATTGTATTGAAGTCCTGGCCTTTGCAATAGGACAAGAAAGAGAAATAAAAGGCATACAGGTTGAAAACAAGCTATCTTTCAAAAAAATTGATTTTTTTGAAAAGCAGCATTGCAGGGAGAGAGAGAGCATGTGTGCACAAGCACACGCCTCCATGTGCTGATTCCCTCCCCGGTGGCCACAGTGATCGGGTTGGACCGAGCTGAAGCCGGCATCTCCTTCCAGGTCTCCCATTTGGTGGCAGGGACCCAGATACTTGGGTCATCCTACACTAGTTTTCCAGGCACATTAGCAGGGTGCTAGATCAGAAACACAGTAGCTGGTACTCGAACAGTTACTCGTATGGGTTCCTGATGTCACAGCCCGCTACACCTCAACACCAGCCCAGGATAATTGTCTTTATTTGCCTTTGACGTGTCATGTATGTAGACGATGTTAAGAAATCTACAAAATATCTACTAAAGTTAATAAGTGAATTTAGGAAGACTACAGACTGTAAAGGCCATATAAAAAGATCAGCTATATTTTTACTTAGTAGTAGTAATTGGAAATTGGAATTTAAAAATTCTATTTACAATAGCAATAAAAACAGAGTACTTAGAATTAATTAAACAGGCCGGCGCCGCGGCTCACTAGGCTAATCCTCCACCTAGCGGCGCCGGCATACCGGGTTCTAGTCCCGGTCGGGGTACCGGATTCTGTCCCGGTTGCCCCTCTTCCAGGCCAGCTCTCTGCTGTGGCCTGGGAAGGCAGTGGAAGATGGCCCAAGTGCTTGGGCCCTGTGCCCCATGGGAGACCAGGAGAAGCACCTGGCTCCTGGCTTTGGATCAGTGCAGTGCACCGGCCGCAGCGCGCCGGCCGCGGCTGCCATTGGGGGGGGTGAACCAACGGCAAAGGAAGACCTTTCTCTCTGTCTCTCTCTCTCACTGTACACTCTGCATGTAAAAACAAACAGAAAAAAAAGGATGAGCCACAGCTGTCAGAAAATATGAATAAAAATCCACACGACAGGGATGGGCATTTGGCCTAGTGGTAACAGACACAGATTAGGACGTCCACATGCCACATTGGAGTACCTGGATGTGAGTCTTGGCTCTACTGAAGTGATTGAGTTCTTACTACCCACGTGGGGAACATGGACTGAGTTCTCTATTCCTTACGCTATTTGAGGAGTAAACCAGCAGATGTCTCCCTCTGTCTCTATGCCTGCCAAATAAATAAGTTTGTTTTTAAATTCACAAATCAAGGGATTAGTATTCATGATATATAATTGAAAAATGAGGGGCCGGTGCCGCGGCTCACTAGGCTAATCCTCCACCTGCAGCGCCAGCACCCTGGGTTCTAGTCCCAATCAGGGCACCGGATTCTGTCCCGGTTGCTCCTCTTCCAGTCCAGTTCTCTGCTGTGGCCCCAGAGTGCAGTGGAGGAGTGCTTAGGTCCTTGGGCCCTGCACCTGCATGGGAGACCAGGAGGAAGCACCTGGCTCCTGGCTTCGGATCGGCGCAGCACGCTGGCTATACCGGCCACTTGAGGGGTGAACCAACGGAAAAAGGAAGACCTTTCTCTGTCTCTTTCTCTCTCACTGTATAACTCTGCCTGTCAAAAAACAAAAAAAGAAAAAGGACAACCCAATAAAAATGCAGGCCAAAATTTGAACATTTTTCAAAAGACAATATAAGGATGACCAACCACAAGCACATAAAAGTTCAACATCATGAGTGAAAAAAGGGTAAATTAAAATCATAATGGTTTGCTGATCTTTTATTGACAGTGTTTTGATGTCTGTAGTTTAATTTGAAATGCACCAAAATTATAAATTAAATTGAGGGACTGATACCTGGGTAAAATATGTGGTAAAGCAAATTAGTACAGTGTTGATAATAGAATCTAACGAGATGGTAGGTATCTGGATGCTTACCGTAAAATTCTTTTAGTTTTTCTGTATGTTTGCATGGTAAAATATTGGGTCAGGGATCTTAGAAGATGCAAGCAGAGCGTCTGCTCTTTCTAATGAAGTGCTTTAGTTTTGCAGTTCATGAACTGGTCTCAAGCATGTCCTAGAACTGACTGTCAACAAGTCCTTGCTGCCTTAGCGATGGGGTCTTGGGAAAGCAAATTAACAATCTGTGGCTCAGTTTTCTTGAATCAAAACTACAGTCATTGGGTTGTGATGAGGCCTGCTGCCTGGCTGGCTGGGCTCACTCTTGGATCAGTGCTTGGCACATATTAAGTCCTATATGTATCAGTTACCAGCTGAGCATAATTGAAATATGTACATTGAAAATTTTAAACATTTTGCTAGATTATGTCTTAAAGTTTCGCTTCCTGTTAAAGTATTTTCTAGTTAAGATAAAGTCAGCAGCAGTGTTAGTGGAGGCATGGTGGGGAGAAAGAAGAGGAAAGTGGGGGAGTGGACAGGTGGGGAATTGAGTAGGACTAATTCTGTGCATTTGAATAACAGGTTCACCCTGTAGTTAGCAGTTTCAAAAAACATTCTATTGTAGATCTTCTACATGTTCTATTGGAAATATTCACATACCAAAAGAAAAATGAAAAGCAACTTGGATTGCATAAAACATTCTTTAAATTCCCATAGATTGACCTGCAAGCTGAGAAGGTGAGCACTGTGGCTGGCATTGGAATTCAAGGAACAGATAAAGAAGGAGGAGCAGAAGGGGAGCAGCAGCCCATTAGCTCCCCCTGGGATGTGACGTTTGGAACATCAGGTGAGTACCCTGTTAACAGTGAATGTAAGTAAACTGTGCTCCCCCTGGGATGTGACGTGTGGAACATCAGGTGAGTACCCTGTTAATATTCAATGTAAGTAAACTGTGCTGGATAAATGCAGAATAATTAAATTTTCATGAGATACTCACTTGGATTTATTTTGCTAGTTATTTTATACTTTGATACCTATGGCTTGGGAGTTAGTGGTGTGAAAACAAAGGCATTAGTAATATTTACAAGACAGAATATATTCCTTTGTTTAACACCAAATGACATGTCACATGGGGGGTAGTGTATAGAGGACAGTAATTTCATCCTAGCTGCATCTGACAATTATGGAGTTCTAGTTATTCTTAAATTGAAGGAGTTACAGTTTCAGAATTTCAAAAGGTGATTTATGAACTATAACACTCTAGTTTACTCTAGTTTGAAAAAAATACAACTCAAAAAGGCAACTGCTTTTGTTTAGATCTTAAAAATTCGTGAATTATTTAAATGGGATAGCTTCTGTTCAGCAGTTACTGAATTATGTTGATATTGATAATGAAGCTTATATTAATTTTATCATTTCTGATACCTATATTAATTGACTAAAATCCAGGACTTCTTGTTAGTACCCTTATTTTTCATTGTCTCTGCGATGTTAAGATGATTATCTGCATGTCTAAATCAGATGAATGAAGAAAGCAGACCGCATTGAAGATGAATTTGAGAACTAAATGGTTGTGTGGTCATAATGTATTTGAAAAGTGACTAAGTACTAGCTTAGTTGATGGCTTTACATTTCCGATTACTCTTATGATGCCAATTTGGTTACAATTCAAAGATTTTCTTTAATTTATTAACTTTTATAAATCTTGCTACCATTGCCATTTATAGAAAAATAAACTTTTATGTTAGAAATTGTTAAAAAAATTCTAAAAATACTTAAGAAATATAAATGTTCATTTTTAAGCCAATGTTCTGATGTGGGAATAAAGCCTTTTCAATTCTTGAAACAGCTCCTGATAGTTTTTCCTTAAAGTGTGGTGAAACTTTAAAACCCTTGAATGAAATCCACTAGGTTTTTATGAAAAAGAAATTTTTTTTTTAAGATTCTTTGGAAAGGCAGATTGAGTGACAGAGGGGGAGAGACACAGAGCTCTTCTGTTTTCTGATTCACTCTCCAAATGGCAGTAATAGCTGGGGCTGGGCCAGGCCAAAGTCTGGGTTTCCCACTGGGGAGGCAGGAACTCAAGTATCGAGCCATCATCTGCTGCTTTGCAGGTGTGTAAGTCGGGAGCTGAATCGGAAGCAGAGTAGTGGAGACTCAGCCATCGCTCAGATACGGAATCCAGGCGTCTCGGGTGGAGGGGTACATGATGGTACACGTGGTTTAAATAGATGTGGGACTAAACACAACTTGGAGGAGACTTATCTGAAAAAATTGTTTGCCTTTTAAACAGTTAAATTTTTTAATATTTTAAAAATTTCATGGAGTATTTATAATTCAACCATCATTATGAATGGAAGAGAGGATAGAATTAACAGGAGGTACTGTGATACCTTTGTACTTATTAATGGGCTGCTCTGCCGTGTAAGTAGACCACAGCTACACACTGCAGCATGGATAGATATCAGAGTCTTTAAATGTTTTAAAATATAAATTAAAAATAATTTAAAATTAAAATTAAAATAAATTAAAAAATTTTTTTAAATTTATTTTTATTTATTTGAAAGGCAGAGAGAGAAAAGAAAAATCTCTCTGCCAGTTTTATTCCTCACATGCCCACAATAAATGGGACTGTGCCAGGCTGTTCTCTGGCTTGCATAGTTTTCCACAGGAGATCTGCTTTGATTTTTTTCCTCTTGTTTCTTTACATGTAAAATATGTTTTTTTCTCTTGTTGCCTTCAAGATTTTATCTTTGGTGTTCAGCAGTGTGCCTGATATATCCAGGGGTTAACCTGTTGGAGTTCTTGAATTAATGGTTTGATGTCCTGGGAGCCAGGAACTCCATCTAAGTCTCCCTAATGGGTGGCAGGGAATCAAATACTTGAGCCATCGCCTGCTGCCTTTCAGGATGCACATTAGAAGGCAGCTGGTATCAGAAACAGAACTAGAACCCAAACTTAGGCACTCCAGTATGGCATATGGCATTCTAAGCTGTGTTTTAACCACTTCAGCAGAAGCCCATCCCAGAGTATTTTTGAGTGAGAAAATCAAGTTATGTATAAAACCTACAATGTAGTTTTTTTTAGAAAATGCAGTAGTGGTCAAGACAGAACAGACATGACAATATTAAAAAAAGTAAAGTGAAAAGTAAAATTAAAAAATAATACCTGAATAGTTAACTGTGCCATTACAGTGATAAAAACATAAAAATAATTGGCATAACATGATGTTTTCAAAAGTGTTTCATCTTCGTTCATTTTTCTTTTTTATTGTTGCTCTAAATATGGTTGTAAATAAGTTCTCTTCATCATATGCCAAAAATAGTTACTAAGTATAATGAGTTTATTTTTTAACATGTACCTTGTGGATTGGGTCTGTGTCAACTGCACTCAAGCAAACAATAATCTGAAAGATGTTTTATCATGAAAATCAAAACCCCTGCCAGTCTCTAAGCACTTCAGACTTTACCTGATTTAGAATCATTTATAGAAAGGATAATGTGCCTGATTTCCATTAGCCTTCCTTCACCCTTTAATCAGCATTTTCCCTAGGTCGAAATTTAGCTTTTCTTATATAACCTTTAATGGGTGACATCCAGCTATTTAGCCTGCTTGTCTGATAATCTACAGTGTCGGTCCTTGTGTGCTTAGATGATGTACTTCTGTGACTTCCATTAATGTGCTATAAAATAGCATGAAGTACTTGTGCTTTAGAAATAATCAGATGATAAAATTTTGAAGGAATAAATTTTATTCAATTAGTGCATTTTTATTTGGGAAAACAGTTGTATGTTTCTATCCAAAATTTCTAAAATTATCTTGGTGTTAAATTAGTTAATTAGATTAATGAGGTATGATTTACATAAAGTAAAATTTACCTTCTTTGGGTTTAGACTTATAGTTCTGTGATTCTGACAGATCTATACAGTCTTCTAATTTTCCACAATGATGATACAGAACATTTCCTTCATCCCCTGAAGCTCTGTCAAGATCCTCTGTTCTGCCTCCCCCACCATCCCGCTACCCACTCCAGCCGCTGTAGAGGTGTAGTTCTACATAGTATTTCTGGCTTCTCCATTTAACATAATGCTTTTGAAATTGATTCCTGTTCCCTGTATCAATAGTTTGCTCTTTTTTATTGCCAAGTTGTAGTCCATGGTATACTATAATGTATTCATTTGGGGGTGATAGACATTTTAGGTGTTTCTATATCCTGGTGATTATGAACAATAAATCTTCTGTAAACATTTGTCTATAAGTTTTTGTTGTGATAATATATATTTACTTCCCTTGGGAAAAAATGCTTAGAAATGAGATTGCTGGGTCGTATGATAACTGTTATTTGTAATTTTACTTAAAACTGCCAGTTTTCCAGAATAGCTGTTTTCTTAGAATCCCCAGTGTCTGTGGGATTTAGGCTTCTGCCTAAAGAAGTTTCTCTAATGTTCCTTGAAACCCAGGTCTGCTGGCAGAGATTTCTCTCGGCTTTTTTCTGGTCTGCAAAGTATCAGCCTTCAGTTTTAAAGATACTTTTACTCTATATCTGTATGGACTGGTTTTTTTTTTGTTTTGTTTTGTTTTTTTTCTTTTAAAACTTCAAGGCTATCACCCTGTTCTCTGGCTTGCATAGTTTTCTACAGGAGATCTGCTTTGATTTTTTTTTCTCTTGTTTCTTTACATGTAAAATATATTTTTTCTCTTGTTGCCTTCAAGATTTTATCTTTGATTTTTCAGCAGTGTGCCTGATATATCTAGGGGTTAACCTGTTGGAATTCTTGAATTAATGGTTCGGGTTTGATGTCCTTCATTATTTTCAATAAATCCTCACTTATTACCTCTTCAAATGTTTCTTCTGCTCCCTTCTCTTTTTGTTCTCTTTCTGGGACACTAGTTACCCATGTTTGAGATGATTTGGTATATTAGCTATCGACTCTTATTATTTCTTTTTATTTCACTCTTTGTTTCCCCCTTTTTATCAACTTGGTCACTTCCGTTGGTTTATCTTAGGATTACTCATTCTTCCCTCAGCTGTGTCTCGTCAGCTGAGACTGGAGAAGGAATTCCAGTATAAGCCCCGCCCCCCTTTTTTGATCGTTCTTCATCTTCCATTGTACTCTTTCTTGTAAATTCCATCTCTTTGCTGAAATTCCCCATCTATTTAGGCCATCCTTTATTCTAGTCTTTTAATATAGTGAGCATAGTTATTTCAAAATATTTGTCTAATAGTTCCAAATTTCAGATTTTCTCTGAGTCTGGGTCTATTGATTTCTCTTACCACTCAAAAGTTGTTAATTTTTTTTCTTGCTTTTATGTATGTCTTTTCATTCTGTGTGGAACTGTGGAGGCTGAAATCACTAGTATTTTTATGGCATCATTGTGAGGGTCTGCGTGAATTGGGTCAGAAGCTGAGCCGGGCCCGGTTTTGTTGATTGCTGTGGTCACTGTCAGCAAGCCTGGCCTTCAGATTCCACTACTGAGCTGCTGCTGTTGCCTCCTGAAGTGGCCTGAGCTGGGTGGGGTGGGTCAGGAGGGGGTTCACTGAGTGCTGAAGGCTTTTCTCAGTGCAATGGTCCCGGTCAGCCATCCCTGCTCGACTGACCTACAGTGTTCCCTTGCACTCTGACAGCTCCCCCAAGGATGGGCTGCTGCTCTGGTTACTCTGTACCGGGCTTGCCCTCGAGGATGGGGTTGTCCTCCATGTTTTGGTCAGCAGTAGTTCTTAGGAAGGCCCTGAGTACCTGGAGGAAGGAGGGTGCAGAGCTTCTTCATGGGTCCTATCCCTCCTTCCTGCAGCAGCTGAACTCTGTCTTGTGTCTGTGATTGCTTTGGGCAGTGTCCAGCTTCTCT